AGAGTGTCTTATTTGCCACAAAACACAGACAAAAATAAATGTATGTTAAAAATATATTGTGAAAGAAGCATCATCATCAAAGTCTAAATATGAAGCTCCATATGTTAAACTCAGCAGCATAAACATCCTCCGCTTTCACCCCTACTGACAACTTACAATCTCCCCATATATGAACCATAAACATATATTTAGGATGCATGAAAACCTGCATTTAATTTGGTCCCTATTTGATGAAGTCCGAGACCATGGATGATGTGTTATAATGGAAAGCAAATGAATACCTTGTGAATATATTACACATGTGAAGAGAAAAGAAAGAGCATGCAGCATACAGTCAATCGCTACTCTAATGACTAATGGTGAGACTTCAGCAGGTGCTTAAAAGGCGCTGCTGAAGAAAATCATGTGTCTTTGTCTGTGTATTTTCCTCTCTGTCACTTCTGCTCCTGCTTCACTGAGGCAAATGGACAACACCCCCATAGACAGCAGCCTCCATTAGCTATTAGTTAAGTTTTAGTTAAGTTTTGCACATGGGGACAGGGAACCATCACGAAGGCTAAGCTCTACTATTAAAATCTCCAGCTAATCCCTAATCAGCCTGGATGGGCTGAATTAAGCTTCAGAAATCTCACCATCAACTCTTTGTTTGCTAAAGACTTCACACGTTCAATACACGCGTGCACGAGTCCCCATAGACACAGAACGAGCCTCGTCATCGGATATTTAAAATATGTGTATGTTTGAACAACAGATGCCTGTGAACGTGGCCTGTGACAAAATGAGGGCACGACCACTGGGACGGGAAACAAACCAAAACGCAGCAAGCGACAAAATAAGTATACGGTATAAAAAGGTGGAGGAAAGAAGGATGAGATTGGAAGAAAGACAATCTGGGATGGTAAATATTTACCTATTCATGTGTGGGAAAGAGACCATGCCTGCCATCTGTGCTGCACTCTGTGTGTGTGTATGTGTGTGTTCTCCGAAATGATAATGTTTGGCTCAGTCGGGCTCCTGTAGCGTAGGAGTCAGGAGGTGAAGAGAAAGAGATACGGCAATGAGAAGAGATGTAAATTAAGCGCTATGACAGATTTTTTGTTAAACGCAAAAAAGTTTGCAAAAATCCCTTGAAGAAACTTCAAGTCCTACATACAATCACATTAACATGTAACCTGACAGCTTAACTAGAAAGTGTAATTATGTGTGAGGAAGGGAGAGCGCAGCAGCTGTAATGAGACTGAAAACAAATTCTGTTTGAGAATTATTGCAGGAAAATTTCAGGTCTCACATAAGCAGTGCTGAT